TACCGTTGATCCATGCTTCCAATCGATGACGGGGCTCCGCGAGCCAGGGACCAGCGTCCCAGTCGTAGCCTGTGCTACGACCCCCGCCCATACTTCTGCAAGTATGGACTTCCGCCTGAGGCGGCGTTTACTTGTTGGCATCCATGACAGCTTCCCGCTCGCCGTCTGACCCAGAGGTCGGAGCCATAAAGATCTGACAGAAAAAGCGGCAAAAATAGGCAGTTGGAATTCAGTTAGTTCCAGCGAATTTGTCCAGTAACCGCGCCAAGCGAGAAAGGAAAAATTAGACAGAAAAATGTATCAGTTTGGACCCAGATTTAAGAAGCGGAATACAACAAACGTCGGGTTGTATGTGGTGGAGCAGGTCACTGGATATGAAGGGAGGATCTTGAATCTGAACATTGACATCTTTTCTTCTATCTTAAGCTCAGGGCCTACTTTAGGTGCAGCACGTCCCTATGGCAGTCCGGAGACGTGTAACTCATCAGGCTCAGTAGCTACGGGGCAGTTGTCTGGACAGGTTACTCGCCAGCTAGAAGCTTGGTAAATGTGCAACCTTGAAAGTGTCATAATTATGCACAGATATGCGCGCTGAGTGTGTGAAATGTTATGATGAGGTTAGTTAAAATGTTTGCCATCCAATTTGCGTGTGGGGAGGCATTATTTGTCCTGACGATTTGCTCTCTACCTACGGCCATTTGGCAGTCCAGAGACGTGTAGCGCCCAAGGCTCAGCAGCTACGGGACAGGTGTCTGGACGAGGTTATTTTTGACGTGCAGTACCGAAAGCACATTGGGAAGCATGAATATAGCCGGTGAATTTATCATAAGTGAAATTTAGGTTAGTTTAGGTGTTTGCCACCTGTATTGGTGCTCCGATGTAACATGACCATTGCTATGCAAAGGTCCCGGACCCTTAGGGACCCGATACCATACGGCATCCCGGGACCCATACATTTCATTGCAGGTTATAACGATGCAAATGTTGCAAATATATACTATTAAATTCGTTAACTCTAAACTGGTAAGCAGAGACCGGAGGTAAGCAGAGACACACGCCACTAGCTTGCATTCAACTTCTTCAAAACCATGAGATCAAAGGAGGTCCAATATATATATCAGTGGCAATCATATGGTCGTGTGTCGTTAACTACTTGATTGACGCTACTTGCACCCATGCTGAACGAGTCAATGTCATTCCTGTCAGCGGAGCAAATGTAATGAAAACTATAAAGTGAACCTGCAAATCCGTGAAAACAGAGAAGCGGCCCGAACCCGGCCCCAACCCGGCTCCCACGGCCTAAGGCTCCGTGCATTGTAGAAACGCGGCTACACCTTGCACCCCTCAACGGCCTGATGCCATACAACAAGAAGCTTCAGCAGCTGGTTCGGCGCCTAGCAGCCAAGCATCGGTGGTTCTATCCTTCTGGAGCTGTATGGCTGGCCCCACCCACTAACCACCTCTTGTGCTCTGTACGGCAAACGCAACCAGCCTTGCGCCTCTCACATGCCTGATGCCGAAGACATATAAGAAGAGAGTGCAGCTGGACCTGTGCTGAAATCGTGTTCCCTGTCCTGTGGCCGGCGGTTTTCACCTAGAGTTGAATTGACGCAGGGTCCATTCCGGTTGTGTTTATTGTGGTGTCTTTGGAATGCGCACATGGGCTTTATATAGATTCCTATAGGTTGTCCCTTCATCCAGTTGGGGGTTGTCGTGGGGCTGGGGCTGGGCTGTCAGGCTGCATGTGGTGTGCATGCAGGTGATCTTTCTACCGTCTATGTCAGGTGCAACGGTGCTTTGGAGTATCACAGCCGCATGATGAATTAAAGCATAAGCAAAATTCAAGAGTTAAAATCCATACACCCAGGTCCTTTGAACCTACAGGACGACTGCAAGTGACGACCAATCAGATTTGTCGTGCCACATGAGAAACCCTAAGCTAACAGATCCGAACTAGTTTGTAGCTACGGTTATCACGGTACAGGGCTCAACACATACATTGTAGCCCCCCAAAACTGCATCCCGCTGGCCCCGTGACCATCGTCAAGGTTGATTGTCCAAGGGACAGCGGCGCCATAGTTGTTGACCCCGTTGACGCCGCTGCCAAGCTGCTGTGCTGGCTGCAACCCCCCGCCCCTGCGCCCCCCCATCCTGCTGGCCCCATGACCATCGTTAAGGCTGATCATCAAAGGGCCGGCGGCGCCATAGTCGTTGACGCCGCTGCCAAGCTGCTGTGCTGGCTGCGGCCCCCTGCCCCTGCTAAACAGCATCCCGCTGGCCCCATGACCATCGTTAAGGCTGATTGTCGAAGGGCCGGCGGCGCCATAGTCGTTGACCCCGTTGACGCTGCTGCCAAGCTGCTGTGCTGGCTGCGCCCTCTTGCCCCTGCTGGACTGCATTCCGCTGGCCCCGTGATCATCGTCAAGGTTGATTGTCCAAGGGACGGCGGCGCCATAGTCGTTGACCCCGTTGACGCTGCTGCCAAGCTGCTGTGCTGGCTGCAACCCCCCGCCCCTGCGCCCCCCCATCCCGCTGGCCCCGTGACCATCGTCAAGGTTGATTGTCCAAGGGACGGCGGCGCCATAGTCGTTGACCCCGTTGACGCCGCTGCCAAGCTGCTGTGCTGGCTGCAACCCCCCGCCCCTGCGCCCCCCCATCCCGCTGGCCCCATGACCATCGTTAAGGCTGATTGTCGAAGGGACGGCGGCGCCATAGTCGTTGACCCCGTTGACGCCGCTGCCAAGCTGCTGTGCTGGCTGCGGCCCCCCGCCCCTGCTGAACAGCATCCCGCTGGCGGGTGGCAGTGGGTGAGGGCGGGTAAGAAAACCACGAAACCGCCCCCGCGTGCAGGCTTGCCGGCCTGCCTGGCACTACAACAGTGGTATAACAATAATGTTTAACTTGCCTGGCTTCTCAGAAAGGAGACCTGGACCAGCAATTGCTGGCAGTTCACGCGGAAAGATACCTGTTTTCCGCCGCAGTTGACTCTATACAATTTTGTGTAATCACCTTTGACACGACTAGAGAAGACATGAGCATGCAGGTAGTCAGAGGTGAACGTTTTGTCTATGCCTAAACGTTCCAAGAAATCCTGCAGCTCGCTTTCTAAAGGAGTGTGCTTGTGTTTACAACGGCAAATCGAACAGTTTCTATCGGAATCAACACCGCCAAAGGACTGACAGCTGTTCGCTTTGGCCATGGCCAGCGAAAAGCATGCCAGAGCCTGCTCTTTAGCGCATACGTTCCATAATTATAAGTTGTATAACAATATCAATCAGGATTCTTGAAAACGCGCTCACGCCCTGCTTATTTTTGCATATTTAGGCTCGGACCCCTAAGACCTAGATCCCCAGCCAAAAATCGGGGTCCCGTGTCGTACACATCGGGGTCCCTAGGGGTCCCCCAGGTTTACATATACCCCTGGTAGTCATGGTCATGGCCCAAAGGAACGCCGATTGTTCCATCACAAAGTAGAATATAGTGGATGAACAAATAAGTACATAGGCAAGGTTACCCGAGGCCGACGTCGATCGACCTGGTCGACCAGGTCCGCCAATGTAGTGGGTCCATGCCACAATATCCGAAAGTCGGCTGAAATCATTTAAAACCTTGTCAGGTTTACTGAACAAAATTACGACCGACGAGGTTTCCATGCCATTGGCTGACATAACCGCTCATGTACGGCTTTGGCTATTATGGCTTCAATGTCCAATGTCCCAATGTTTTTATGTAGGCAGGTAGTGGTGGGCCACATCTGTGCCACGGTTGTGTGTTTCGTTGTGGAATCGTTACCCGTTGCCCTCTTTCTTGTTCCTGATGCTATGGAGGGTGGCTGGGGCTGGTTGGGGGAGGGGGGCGTGTATGTTTCGCCTCCGCCATTGACGTGCCTGCCCTAATTGTCATGTTCCCATCCATGTGCTGCACGTGCAGCAGGCCTCGGAAGATGGGGCCAACGTCCAGCCGGGAATGGAGGTAAGATGGGGGCGAGGGTCGGGGCTCTTATGTGTTTTACGTGGGGCATCAAGACGCTGTCGTACTCCGATATGGCTATCGGAGTACGGCAGATTTGTTTGATGTAGGCAGGTAGTGGTGGGCCACATCTGTGCCACGGTTGTGTGTTTCGTTGTGGAATCTTTAGCCATGTCATGATGATAACACTACATGCTAGGAAGTGTGGCTGGGGCTGGTTGGAGGAGTTGGGTGTGTATGTGTCAGCACTGTCTTTGCAGTGCCTGCTTTAATTCTCATGCTCTCATACATGTGCAGCAAGTGCAGCCAACCTCCGATAGTGGGGCTGCAGCCGAAGTTTTAATTTAGGAGGGTGGTGACAGGGAGGGGGAATGGGTTTCACTCAGGGAGGTGAGATGGAAGGGAGGGTTGGGGCTCCAGGTGTTGTATCCTGTTAAGCTCACTGTTAAGCTCTAGGCTCTGTTGTCTAACTGTCAGATGCCGGTCTGTCCACCCTACTGCCGCACTGCTGCAGAAGTCCATACTGGCGTCTGGGCAGGGGCTTCACCTGTCTAAAGCTGGAACCTGCCTTCCTGGATGTCTGCTTCATGAGGCGAGAGTAGTTCCTGCGAACTATGGTCAACATCACACCACCCAGCCGTACTGGAACTTATTGGCATGAGGCCCAAGTGGATTCTAGAATGATTATTATTCAATCCACTTGCCTCAACCGGTATCTTTCGATACCACCATTTCATGGTTGTGTCACCCCCAAACCCCGAGGCCCCCAGGCTCCCAGGCCCCCGGCTCCCAGGCCCCCAGGCCCCCAGGCCCCCAGGCTCCCAGGTTCCCAGGCTCCCAGGCCCCCAGGCTCCCAGGTTCCCAGGCCCCCAGGCCCCCAGGCTCCCAGGCTCCCAGGCTCCCAGGCCCCCAGGCTCCCAGGCCCCCAGGCCCCCAGGCCCCCAGGCTCCCAGGCTCCCAAGCTCCCAGGCCCCCAGGCTGCCAAGCTCCCAGGCTCCCAGGCCCCCAGGCTCCCAAGCCCCCAGGCCCCCAGGTACCCAGGCCCCCAGGTCCCCAAGCTCCCAGGCCCCCAGGCTCCCTGGGCTCCCAAGCTCCCAGGCCCCCAGGCTCCCAAGCTCCGAGGCCCCCAGGTACCCAGGCCCCCAGGTCCCCAAGCTTCCAGGCTCCCAGGACCCTGGGCTCCCAAGCTCCCAGGCCCCCAGGCTCCCAAGCTCCGAGGCCCCCAGGTACCCAGGCCCCCAGGTACCCAAGCTCCCAGGCTCCCAGGACCCTGGGCTCCCAAGCTCCCAGGCCCCCAGGCCCCAGGCTCCCAGGCCCCCAGGCACCCAAGCTCCGAGGCCCCCAGGTACCCAGGCCCCCAGGTCCCCAAGCTCCCAGGCTCCCAGGCTCCCAAGCCCCCAAGCTCCCAGGCCCCCAGGCACCCAAGCTCCGAGGCCCCCAGGTACCCAGGCCCCCAGGTCCCCAAGCTCCCAGGCTCCCAGGCTCCCAAGCCCCCAAGCTCCCAGGCCCCCAGGCTCCCAAGCTCCCAGGCTCCCAGGGTCCCCAGGCTCCCAGGCCCCCGGGCTTCCAGGCCCCCAGGCTCCCAAGCCCCCAGGCTCCCAGCTCCCAGGCCCCCAGGCCCCCGGCTCCCAGTCTCCCAGGCTCCCAAGCCCCCGGCTCCCAGGCCCCCAGGCTGCCAAGCTCCCAGGCTCCCGGGTCCCCAAGCTCCCAGGCCCCCAGGCTTCCAGGCTCCCAGGCTTCCAGGCCCCCGGCTCCCAGGCCCCCAGGCTCCCAAGCACTCAAGCTCCCAGGCCCCCAGGCTCCCAAGCTCCAAGGCTCCCGGGTCCCCAGGCTCCCAGGCCCCCAGGCTCCCAGGCTCGCAGGCCCCCAGGCCCCCAGGTCCCCAAGCTCCCAGGCTCCCAAGCTCTCAAGCTCCCAGGCTCCCAGGCTCCCAAGCTCTCAAGCTCCCAGGCCCCCAGGCTCCCAAGCTCCCAGGCTCCCGGGTCCCCAGGCTCGCAGGCCCCCAGGCCCCCAGGTCCCCAAGCTCCCAGGCTCCCAAGCTCTCAAGCTCCCAAGCTCCCAGGCTCCCAAGCTCTCAAGCTCCCAGGCTCCCAGGCTTCCAGGCTCTCAAGCTCCCAGGCCCCCAGGCTCCCAGGTTCCCAGGCTCCCGGGCCCCAGGCTCCCAGGCCCCCAGGCTCCCAGGCTCCCAGGCCCCCAGGCCCCCAGGTCCCCAAGCTCCCAGGCCCCCAGGCTCCCAAGCTCCCAGGCTCCCGGGTCCCCAGGCTCCCAGGCCCCCAGGCTCCCAGGCTCCCAGGCCCCCAGGCCCCCAGGCTCCCAAGCTCCCAGGTACCCAGGCCCCCAGGTCCCCGAGCTCCCAGGCTCCCAGGACCCTGGGCTCCCAAGCTCCCAGGCCCCCAGGCTCCCAGGACCCTGAGCTCCCAGGCCCCCGGGCTTCCAGGCCCCCAGGCTCCCAGGCCCCCAGGCTCCCAGCTCCAAGGCCCCCAGGCTCCCAAGCTCTCAAGCTCCCAGGCCCCCAGGCTCCCAAGCTCCCAGGCTCCCGGGTCCCCAGGCTCCCAGGCCCCCAGGCTCCCAGGCCCCCAGGCCCCCAGGCCCCCAGGCTCCCAAGCTCCCAGGCTCCCAGGCCCCCA